TAGGGTTTAGGGTTTAGGGGTGGCATCCCTTCATATGAAGAGCTCCCCCATACTCATCTTAAACCATGAAGTTCAGGCTACCCTGGAACCGTACAGCTGCTTGGGCTCCGGGCCTTTAAATTTCTTTGAAGGGCTTGACCCCTCTAAACCCTTGTGCACCTGTTGCCATCATTCTCCGGGATGTCTGCTGGCGGCTCTTCCGGCTCATCCTCGGTCGATGCTTCAGGGGTTTAGGGTTTAGGGTGCAGGGAACAGGGATGTGTTCCTTTCGTAGTTAAACACGGTGGCAGACCCTTAAAGGGTTTATGCGCCGTGTGCTTTGCGAGGACTTTCCAAAGTTCCGGCAGGAAACACACGAGAATCTTCCTTTGGAAACTTTGTGCTTGCCGCATGCAGAAAGACATGTTGGCGTGCGCTGTGGCATGTTCCAAGCCCCCACTTGCCGCCGAAAGGAACACCAGCGTACACCCACAGGCAATCTCACTAGTTCAGATTATGCGCAATTAGAGAATCGCATGCTTTGTAGACTCACATTACAGTCATCTTCGAAGCCTGGACGAATTCTTGTTCCTGGGCCGGTGGCCTCGAACCAGTCGTTGAGTGATGGCGGGGCCCGTGGAAACGTTTCCAGTTGGCTGGATGCCAGTGAGGCCAGTGGCGGAGCCTGCAGCAATCTCCATCAACAGCATGAACCTCATGCCCGTGAGACGAAGCACTCGCTACGTGCAATGCTGTCCCAACACTTGCATTACTCTTCTCCGGCAAGTGGGAAACAAGGGAGCATCGCAGCACGAAGACGCAGTTCGTATCATAGTACTTCCAGATTCGAGCCCTCATGACTTTCAAGTTCTGCTCCCGTCTGCCCAAAGGATGCTATGAGGGGCGAGGCCCCACACCGAGCCTCCTCCCTGCTTTCCATGCTGCTTCTCCGGGACCCGCTTGGCCCGCTTTCCACGCTGCTGCGCCGGGACACGCTTGGCCCACTTTCCACGCTGCTACGCCGGGACCCAATCTCGGACTTGGCCACCTGCTGGACACCAAGTTCATGCTAAGCTGCCAAGCTCCTAGAAGTTGGCTTTTTGTCAGACAAGTTGATGGCTCAGCCGAGTCATGATAACACTCCTTTGAATTTCCGCGACCTTAGCGCCCCTCCCTGAACAAATTCTAGGATCAAAATCTCAGCAAACTCTGAAGGGCCTCGAAGTCTGAGACGTGGAGCAGCCTTCGGTGCTCCTCCATCAGGGCAACTCTCAGCGCTGCCAACCTTAAATTTGTCAGGGCTGGTGCACCGCTCTTCGTGAAGTGTTGCTGTCTGTGAAACAAGGCTCCACTGGCCCTCCCCCCCTTGCCTGGCGATCGTCATCATCGTCGTCATCATCGTCGTCATCATCATCATCCTCATCATCATCCTCATCATCATAATTTCATTTCGCGCTTCATCACAACACTCACCATCATCACCTTCGTCTTCGCCTTCGCCGGCGTCACCACGCTTCATGCATCATGAGCATGCTTGTCGCATGACTCTCAGCATCATGATGGAGAGGATGACTCAAGTCATCCAAACTACGCTGGCGATCACCACCCCTACCAGGCCCTACCACAAACCTCCACCACAATCACCTCTGGATTAGCGCAGTTCATGATCCTGATCTCAGCATTGCCCTACGGCATTGAATCACGGGCTTTGGGGCCCAGGTCTCACACAAGCCACGGGCGGGTGAGGCATTGGAGCTACTCAACCCAGCATCTAATGTAGGCGCCTTAATAATTAGAATACTGTTTGGGGGGGCACATTATACTATATCTATAATAAGCAGCCCCCAAAATAGTATAGGTAACTACAACTCCAAGGGGCTTTTGATCCAGAACGGCGTCGAAAGCCGCGATGGCGTCTCGGGTGTTTATGACCTCAGTGTATGTTTCGGGTATCACCGAAGGCATTGCTGAATACCTGCACGGGTCAAGCATGCTATCACGAGCTCACGGTCCAACTAACTATGGCAAACAGAACTACATAGACATGTCAGACAATATCACCATGGAGGCGAATGCTGATCTGCAGGCTTGTGACAGGCGGGCGATCCTGGTCCAGCATTTTGGGGTGCAGCTCCATGGCAGAGATAGGAATTCTACCGCTCTTTACCACGAGGATGTCCTTGGACACGAGCCTGAAGGCCCCAACCCCTCTCTAGCTTCCTGTTAGAGGTCCTTGTGCACTTCTTTGGAGTGGCGCCGCGCTCTTTGCAAGATTTCCCTGCAGGCCTGCCTTGCCTATTAAGCCACTATAGGGCTTGAGACTGAAAGACGCCAAGGCAGGAGTCTCTCGTGCGAAGAACGAAACATAAAAATCAAGCCCTTTGCATGTCCACACCTCTCATACAGACACATACATATAGATATATATATATATACATACATACACACATACGAATACAATATACCTACATAAATACATACATACATACATACATACATACATACATACATACATCTTCACATATACACATATGTATATACATATATTTATACATGAACGTATATACATACACACGTATATACATATATACACATATACACATACATATAAAAACATTTAGATAAAGACATATATATATATATAAGTATGCTCGTGCATGGATGCATGCATGGCTGGATGGATGAACGGATGCATGGCAGACGAATTTACATACATATATGCGTGTGTGTATATATATATATATACAGAAAGCGTCCAGAAAGCGTCTGTCTATGTCTATATGTGTACTATGTACATACAAATACACATCCATACACCCATACATACATCCCTACATACATACATATACATGCATGCATACATCCATACACCTGTCCAAATTGAATTGGCGTGGCATGGCGTAGCCCTGCCTCTCGCCAGCGTCCCACTTTCTCACAGGCATGAATCGCGATGTTGTAACCTCAAGGCTGGGACACGGTGAAAAGAGAGCTTTGGGCTATGGGGGGTAGGGGGTGGCTTCCCGAAGCCAAGAGCGAAGATCTCTCTGCTACAGCACAGCAAAATCTCCTACATTAAGAATGTCCTTGAATCCAATGGAAGCCCGCTTGAACCACAAAACGACGGCAGCTTCACAAGAAGCAAAATGATGCTGGGCTCCCCAACCCACAGGACCTCGGCGCTGTTTTCTGCGCATCTTAGCATGGATATTTTTACGTCTCAAAGTGACAGGCATCCTGATTCCCGACTCGCCTGCTTCGATGGACGCTTCGGGTACCACATGCAGCAGAGCCTCAGAGAGCCAGAAAGCAGGGCATCCAACGTCCAATGGGCCATGCTGGACTTCGAACTGCACAGACAACAATTCTGAAACCGACGGCTGGATCATCATTAATCAGTTGCTTGTTGCTTCAACTTCCTTGCGTCGCACGAAGTGACTCGGATATGCAACGAAATGGTCACCACCCGCGATTCAGGCTGTTTCAACCAATGAGAGACAACCGCAATTTTCAAAGCGAGCTGTCTCTCTGCACTGGCGAAAACTTATCACTTCTGCTTCTGGGATTGTCGACCTGACCTGCGATGTTCCCAGACAAGGACGTGACCAACGCCACGTCCCAGCGCCTCTCCAGGCTGCAGACCTGCTCTGTCGAAGCAGATTGCCAGAAGCGCCAAAGAGCAACGCGGAGCAACCGGGACACGGGCACTTGCAGCAGAATTGAAGGAGACCGCATCCTTAGGACAAAGCCTAGCTCCCCTTGCGAGATCACGATCACGGCAGGCCCCTTGCCAGCCGCTGGCCGAAGCGCCGGAGCTTCTCTTGGAGGCTGAGGGCCTGGGAACACTAGGAACCCCTTTAGGGTTTAGGGTTTAGGGTTTAGGGTTTAGGGTAAAGTCCTTCCGAGTCCTTCGTAGCAAACTGCATGGCTGCTCCCTGCAACATCGGGCCTGGTCCCAGGCCGCCCTCGCGCCGCGCTCTGCGGCCCCCAGGCCCGCATTGCACGCGACGATCTCGGAAGCGTTGAACGGGGCTCAACGAAAGACGATGATTTCCACAACCCAATGTGGCACGTCCAGCAGAAGCTCAAACCCTCAATGCCCATGAAGCGGAATCCCCGCAAACTCTCAACCCATCATATGGGAAAGTGTTGAGAGACCCTCCAAGGCTCCGCACGGTTCCGCAGAGTGTCTTCAAGGCTTTGAATCCTGCCCTCAAGTGCGGCACCTGGGGCTGCCACGTTGGGCTGCAAAGCGCTCTGTGGCATCCTGGCTGTCGGGCGTAAGCACGTTTTCGAGTATGAGAGCGTTTGAGATCGTTTGAGCTCTGCATCCGTCCGAAATTTCGTTTGATGGTGAGCAACCCACATGGGGCTTCCTGAAACATCTATCACCTATCTGGTCGTGAAATCGTGAACCACACTCGCTGAGCAGAGTCGGCGTCGGAAAGCTGCAACAACATGTCCTCTGCAAGGCATCCACCGCACTCTCCCACTGGCTTCCTGCAAAGAAACGTCCCAGGATGCTTCTAAGGTGTTCTATGTAGACGCGATCCTTCTCTGTCGAACGCAGTCCCCATGGCTGCATGCCTCGATGCAAGGCAGTGATGGTTGCCCCAGCAGACACAACCTCAAGCTCACACACGAACAGCGACCGCTGCATAGCTGCAGAATGCTGCAGAGTCATGTGACAGAGGGGTGAGCGGCAGCAGCAGCAGAAGCAGCAGCCAAGGCAAAGGTGCTACGAATCCGTAAACAGCGTCTTGGCTCAAGACGTTGCTCTCCAATCGATTTTGTATGAGCCTCTGAGTGAGGGCCGAGGGAGGCTGGGATGCTCAGCAACGCTCAAAAAGGCCTGCCCAGCGCCAGCACGGATTCCCAACGGTCGGACGTGCCAAAGGAGGTCGTCATCGCCTTTTCTCTCGAAGGCCAGACATGGGAGTTGACGAAAATAAGGGGTACCTTCTTTTGGGGCCCTTATAATAAGGATCCTACTATTTGGGGTACTATATTAGGGTCCCCTATTTTCGGAAACCCCCACATGGATGCTGCGCTTCACAACAGTGCCAGATGCACCCCAAGGCTGATGATGTCCGGCCGCAGGCACTCCGCCTGGAACCACGAAAGACAAACGCTTAATGCAAAGGCTCTCGAGAGAGCTCTTTTTATAGCGCCTGAAGGCCTGCGAAGAGCTCCGCCGCCTTGGGGGTTTTCGGAAATCGCTCCCAAAAGAGTCTACTTGGAGGATCATGGGACTTAGTAAGTAAGGTTATAAGTCCCTTAATTGGGGTTATAAGTATAGTTACCCTAATTATAATGCTACTTACTAAGTCCCATGATCCTTTAAGTACTGCAGGTCGACCCCGGCCCTCAGACGCGGCTGGGCACTCGGCCCTTTGCCAGCGCTGCCCCTGCAAAACCCATCGACAGATGTGCCACACGTGCCACATGTGCGCTGAGCTTCGCTGCTTCCGTACCACTCTTCCTCTAAAAGCCGGCACGTGCCTCCCTTCCCAATAACCAAAGCAGGGGAGCCTCGAACCCTGAACCCTGGGACCCTAGAGCCCTACCGGCGGCGACGCTGACGGCCGAGGCCCAGGCCAAGGAGCTGATAGCTGCGTTCAGAGATGGGAGATCTTCGTGAAACCCTGGGCATGACGAGGATATGCCGGGAATGTAGGCATAGCAGCTTCTTCAAGCTCTAGATGGATGGGGGTGGTGGTGTTATACATACCTTCTACTTCACAGAAAACTATTGGTATTGCACTACTACTTCTAGTCGTACTACTAGTATTAACTAGTTCTTACATGTTCTTACTGTTACAACCCAGCGGGGGGATATAAGCCCCGACGAGACAGGGCTTTGTGGACGGCCGGTTTTGCCGTTTGCGTTTAGAGTGTGGAAATGGTTTAACCTCGAATTGCGGAGGCGCCAGCCGCGCATCCAGCCTTGTGAGGCTCAGTGGATGATATAATGTGATACATTCTGATATAAAGTCCCTGACTTGCGCTACGCTCGGCTACCGTGCAGCGTGTCAAAGTCAAAAAAGTGATATAAAGTCCTGTCGCGTCACAGGGTCATGGTCTAGTTGGATGTGTAGTGTTAGGCATTTTGGCTTTTGGCTTTAGGATTTCTTGAGTCTAAGTCGGTCTTGGGGGCGTTGTGTTGATTCTACAGCATGTTTGCAAAAAGGCGACAACACTGTTAAATAACTGTGTTCTGCTCAGTACTAGCATCATTGCTATCGCTTTGGGTCGTTATGTTGTTTTCTTTTTTCTTCTTCAACTGAACCGTTTTATACATGTCTGTAGATCTGCTCGTCATGTTGATGACGTGATTGTTCTTGCTGTCCTTCTTTCTGTCCCTTTAATCTTGATCTCGTTCGAGTGTTTCTTTCCTCACCACCACCATCATCACCACCGCCACTACCCATGCGAGGAACGCTGCTTTACACTTTACATAACTGCACCCGTGCCCACAAGAGGCTACAGCCGCTGCAGTACCTCAAAGTACGCGTTGTGAAAAGGCTAGGAGCTCCTGAGTTGCCGGCCCATGTCTCGGCATGCCGTCAAGACGTGCAGCCTCAAAAGACGCTTGGGTGCCGCTGTCATGGTCAGGGCCTCTAAGGACTCTTGGACCTAAGGACGCTGCACCCACTCCCACTGCCCGCTCCTGTCGCTGAAACAGCTTTCAACGGAAGGTGCACCGGAGCCACGCAAATCGAGTCCTTTCGAAGGAGCTGATGACAGCCGGGATCGCCCCTGCCTTGAGCAAAGCTCGGGATGCGCTGACTCGCGACTCGCCACCGTCATACTGGGAACAGTCTTGCAGCAAACCCTTCTTGGCTGATGCTCACCCTGGGCAGGCGGCATCCTCGAACTGCAATTCATTGGCCAACAGGACAACCAAGACCCAAACCCGCCATGCAATGAATATTCCCATTATAACTTATAAACCCTAAACCCTAAACCTAAAGGCTTTGTGAGCACCTGCATGGAACTCCTCCTCACGTCCTCCAGCAGGGCAAGCCTTGGAACTTCCGGCAGAGTTTTGGTCGGATCTAGATGTGCTTCTAGCTATAGTCTCCATTGTAGTTCCTTCTTGGGGCTACCTTATAGGATCCCAATATATAAATTGGTTAAACCAAAAAAATGAACTACAATGTAGACTATAGGTACTATATAGGTATTCTACACTGCCAGCGACGGGAACAGAACAGATATGAGACACGCAACTACCCTAAGGTTCAAGCTCACAGTCATGCTGTACCACGGCAAGCAAGCCCAAGACGGCTCTTTTCTACTACGCTGCCGAGGGCACTTCTGATCAAACATGTAGGCCCAATGTGGGCTGCGAACACAGCAGACTGGCCGGACAACAACCGTTTGGAGACTCGGACACGGAACCGTATCTGCGGTGACCCGTTCGAACATCTTCGGCTAGCTGAGGGACTGAGTGTCTTAATTAAGGAGGGCCCTTCCGCCCCAGCCGAGTCTCCAAATAGTGAGTGTGCAAGCACACCTTGCGGCCGCAAAGCCCATGATGACTGCGTCAGGCCGGTTCTCGCTCGGTTCAGTTGCGGCGGATTAAAACAGGGAAGGGGTAGTTCTGCCAGCAGCAAAAGTTCACGAGGCGCACCACAAGCATCGAAAGAGCTGCGAAATGCCTCCCGTTGGAAGCACCGCGAGCTTAGATGTTGAGCGAGCAGGCGAGGCAGGTGCATCAAAACATCTGAGCTTCAGGTTTTAGCGCCCCGAAAGAGCTACGGCATCAGCAAACTGTAGCCATATGGACGTCGCATGCCTTGAGCCACTGAGGTCACTCGTAGTTCTTGGCCTTAGGCCTCGGCGGCCATCTGTGTCTGCACATCGTCGAGGAAGCTGCGGTGGCAAAAAGGGCAGCTCCGGACAAGCTGATTCGCTTGCTTCAAGCTCATGCGAGAGAGGAGCCTGTGCAGATTCGTCATCGTCCTGGGTGGTCAGAGATGTGGACTTGAGCAGTTCTCCATCTCCCACTGGAGCATACTGGATCTGCTGCAGGTAGAGGGACTCGACAATCACCCCATTCAAAGAAGGACGCTCAAAAGACCTGCTGCAGATGCAACTGCAAGACCTCTGCCCCGGCTAGGCTCTGTATCGCTTCTCGTTGCCTCTTGTCCGCCTTCACGGTTTGATTGCTCCGAAACGGCACTTGCAGACAGGTGTGGGACTCCATATTGCCGGCTGACCTGTGGTGAGGCTAAAGACAAACGTTCGGAACTTCTGCAATGTCGCGAGATGCTTGAAATGGCTCTCGTCGTGGAACATGGCCACGACGCAGCACGGGAACAGAAACAGGGCAAGCCGGCGAACCCTGGAAGGACCCAACGATGACACCTTCACTCTGACGTGCGACAGAACCGCCCACTTCGAAGGCTCCTCCCCGGACTTGGAGACGCGATCAGAAGCTACGCGGGATGCTATGACTGCTACGACTTGGAGATCGAAGCCTACACAGCTGGCGGGGACCTAGGTACGTGGAGCAACGTGAGTCTTCGGCAGGGCTTCCGCGAGATTTCTGGCAAGCTCTTTGCTTGCTTTATGAAGTTGAAGTGATGTTGAGAGGTGTGAAAAGGGTTTCATCGGATTGCTGAAGGGGTTTCCGGATCTGCGACGACTCTTCAGTTTCGAGGCTCTGATAATCTGAGGGCCGAGGGTTCGGACTCTTGGCAGAGCAGGTAATCCTATGAGGGGTCTGTGCTGGACTTGGTACACCTCGAACTCCTGCTAGTAACTACCAGTGGCATCGCGTGCGTCTGGAACCATCATCTCAGTGAGAATCCTTCTGGACTGCCTTGTGCTCTGCCACTCGACTCTACCCACATGTATATCCAAAGAGCCGCGCAAGCCCCCTCCGGCTCGGCCCATGCTTTTGCGTTCGACGGGAAATCGGAATGACTTCTCCTTTTTCCTCCCTGCGTGTGAGGGTGTCGCGCAGCATGCATGAGCGGCAGCTCACCCGTGCGAAACCAGCTGTGGCAGCTATGCGATGTTCTGAAAGCTTCGGTTGTGCCCGTCGCCCGGAGCTGACAGCGGATTCCATACAAAGCCTTGCACCGCTTGGCAAGGCGAGGGATATGTACAGTCCGACGGTCCGATCATCGGCCTCCGAGAGAGCATCAGCTCTCAGTCCTGCATGTCCCGACATGTCGCAAGGGCCAAGGACTTCGACTATGACTTGGTTCCCCCGACCACGCGTGTCGGGACATGCTTGATGAAGAAGCTATGTACAGGGGCTTGCGACGAGAATGGCTTTGCGCAAGTCCGACTTTGCATGAGTGCCAAAATAGCATGCATCCGCAGCTGCCAGCAGGCGGCACTGGTGCGTACGGGGCCTGGTGGCCACTTGAACTGTTTCGCTGCGCCAGTCTGCCGAAAAGTCAGTCCTGCAGCACAGGGCCTCACCCCTAATTAATGAAAGGCAAATCTCTCAAGAATGGGATGGGCGACACGGGCTGCTTCCCCCAGCAAGAACCCTGCATGCTACCAGTAGCGTGAAGATGAGGAGGAAAAAAGGTAAAGCTCCTGTCCATCTGCTCTTCGAAGCCCAACCACCTCCAGCAGTGCGCTCAATGCCAACCCAACGCAAAAGCCTCTTGCTGCTATCATTATCATCATTATTAGTATTATTATTATTAGTAGTAGTAGTAGTAGCATTATTATTATTCTTCTTCTTATTATTATTATTACTATTATTATTAATGTTCCTGTTATTATTGTTGTTGTTAGTATCAGGAAGGAATCTACGAACCACTTGGTCACCAGGCCTCGGTGATGGTCTCACGGCAGAATGGACAGTCGCTGCAGCGCAAAGCACAAGCCTCCTGATCGAAGTGACTCGGGGGTTGGCGAAGCGGCAACAGCCACAACCTCCCTAAACCCTAAACCCTAAACCCTAAACCCTAAAACCCTAAACCCCTAAACCCCTAACCCCTAAACTCTAAACCCTAAACCTGTATCAACTGCAGGCAAAAGTCGCAGACGAAGCCGTGGCCGCACGGAACGAAGGCAGCGTCTGCCCTTGACACCAAACAAATGGAGCCTCATGGGAGTTTCCGAAAATTAGGGTTTTAGGGTTTAGGGTTTAGGGTTTAGGGGTACCTTATTTTGGGGCCCTTATAATAAGGATCCTACTATTTAGGGTACCATATTGGGGTCCTAATGTCGGAAACTCCCTCATGGGCCCGCAGGGCAAAAGAAAAAAGGAGATTCCTGCTCGCAGCAGTGTGAATGGGTGCGCTCAAGACCCATACTACTGATAATAATGATACTACTAATAGTCATGATACCTAATAATAATGATACTAATAATAATAATAATAGTAATAATAATAACAGCAATAATAATAATAATAATAAGCTTCAGAATGCGACGAACCCAAAATAGGTCTGGAATACGAGGAGCAATCATCTGCTGTTGTGACCACGGGAAGACGCACCACAGGCCCAGTCGTGCTCAGCCACGACCTGCAATGGGCAGCCAACGACAGAATAACAAAAATGCCACGCACATTCCGCGACATCCGAGGTGCCCCCAAGAACCCAAAGCCGAAGCCCGCTGGCCTCGGCAAGGAGGCCAGCAGTCGTAGCCGAATATCCTCCGGAATTCCATGCAGTCTGGCTTTCTGTAGCTTTCCTGGCCTCTCGACTGGATGCCCGGTCCTGGCTCTTCTTCAAAGCTTTGGAGGCACCTGAACTCTCACCGGGCTCGCTGGAGCACTTCAAAAGGGGGCTAGGGCTACGACCATCGCTTCCCGCTTGGGCCCAGAAGTTTGTCTCAAGACTGCGCCCTAAACCCTAAACCCTAAACCCTAAACCCTAAACCCGACTGAGAAGCTGGTCCAAAGCTTTGGACGAGCGGCGCCGCCTCACGAGTACGGCAGCTTTCCGTGCGAGGCGGGAATAGTGCATCGCGCCGGAACGAAGCAGCACCTGCAGCATTCTAAGGTTCTTTGGCACCATTAGCCGGAGGCTGGAGGCGCTTTCAGAGACCGAAAAAGAAAGCGATGTACAAAGGGCGTCAATGCAATGCCAGAAACCCAGCAGCTACAGCCAGGACTATTCAAGACGCCTGCACAGTGATCTCCGAACATTTCCATGGGCCACGAGGGAAATCTAGCTTGCAGAACCCTTCCAAGAAATGGAATGCCTTTTCACTGATACTGCTTACATGTCTGAGGGCTCGTGTACCTTGACATACAAGTACAAGGTTCCGAAGACGTGAACATACTGGGGCCTCCATGCAGCACCGACGGAGAAAATCGTCTTCTGTCGCCGCCTGGCGCGGTACAGTGGTCAGACACTTTCACATCTTCATCTTCATATCGGATTTCTACTGCCTCGTTGACCGCCTACACGACTAAGAAGTACCTCTACCTCAATATTAGACTCTATATATGCATATTATGTCGTATGTGTATATATTTATGTATTCTATATATATGTATGCATATATATGTATGCATATATATATATATACATATATATATATATATAACATGCAGCATGACCATCAAGGCTCACTGTGATCGCACCTCCTGCACGAGGCGATGACAAGACTTGCCTTGATCATTAAAGCAATCAGCAACCGCACGTTCCAGATCTCCCCATACTGTCATCAGCACTCTTACGTAGAGCCACGGCACCGAGAGTGCCTTGTAAGGCTGGCGGAGCTCTTGCTTCGAACAGAAACTCAACACCCAGCCCCGAGCCCCGAGCGGCCCAAGCGCCAGCTCAAACTTTGGAGTATCCTCCAGGCAGAGTGCAAAAAGCTGGGCAAGAAGCTCGCGTCGCAAGTTTCCCGGTCCTGGCCGTCTTCCGCACCGGCGCGGCCATCGCGCAAGAAGCACGCCGCCCGGCAGAGTTCGAGCAGACTGAGCTGCCCTTCGGCGCTCTGCGAATCCCTAGTTGCTGCCTGAAGCACTCAAGGCTTGATCCTAAAGTGTTTCGATGCTCCGGAAAGAAAGCAGGCTCGTGAAGAATGCACCGCAACGAAGCCCAGTCACGCACGACTCCTGAGGGGCCCACGCCGCGATCCATTCCGAGGCATTGCTACATGCACCTGAGCCGAGAGAGCCGTGTCGGTCATGGTGGAACTTGCTGCGTAGCGAGTTTACAGACTCAACTGCTCTTCTGGTCTTGCAACAGGTAAAGCCAGCACTGGCAGTTTCTTAAACCCTTCGGTGCGGCACCGATGGCTGCAGAGAAAACGACGAAATTGGGCGTAGGGCCGCGAGCCTGCGGTCGCAATCTCACTTAGCTCCTCCACCGGCCTCTAACGACTCTAATGAAACAAAAATATAGTCGGATTGCATAATGCATCTACAGAGCCACCCTGGCACCTGCATCGCCACCAGAATCTGCAGTGCCTCCAAGGGTTGGCCATGCCGTGCAAAGGATTGGCTTTATGGGAGGTGCTCCTTGTGGAGTCCACGATTCTCTAGCCTTTTCCACGAGAGGGAGATGCAGAACAGAAAGGGGTTCTGGCAAGTGTGCCGAGCACCCCCAAATCTCGGCATCCACCCGACATTCCAGCAGAAGTGCGCTTGTCACACGGTGCAGTGATTGGCGTGGCTGGGCTACGGAAGGATGCCACTCGGACCCAGCCTATCTAATTGGATCCTGAATCCGAACAGGGTCAAGCTGCACAGGAAAAAAGCGAAAAAAAGGCTACCTCCTAGCCTTGCCGCTCGTCTCTAAGTTTTGTTTCCGACTCTCTCCCATTTCTGCTTTTTCTGGAAGTCCCCTTCTGAGTGAAGCGTCTCTTGGGCACAGGGTGCCATGCCTGCTCCCACTGCCGATCGCAGCTGGCGATGGCAGCACTGCAGGCTGCGACGGTCGGCCGCACACCTTGTTTCAAAACAACAACACTGAGAGACGCTCATGACCATGATCTTGTTGATATATATATATATATATATATATGTATATTATATATATATATATATGTTGATATGCAAGTGAGCTCAGGAATTGAAGATTAGGGAGACTCACAAGGAACCTCACAACACGGAGAGTCGCATGGGTGCCTGCATCAAATGCTGGGGAGCGAGCCGGCCTTCTCCATGGCGCCCAACAAGAGGAGCGCCTGACAAAAGGCGGCTCCAAAGAAAAAAAGCAGGAGGGCATAGGGTTTAGGGTTTAGGGTACCGCCAGGGGAGTGCCTGCTCCCAGCAGTTGCCAGCCTTGCAAGCGAAGACCGCAAGGGCCTTGGCACATGGCTCGGCTCCATGCGAATTACGACACAACAGCTGCTGTGAAGCAGCTGCTACTGGCACCGCGCCTCTAGAAGATTCGCTGATGAAATCGGGAAACTGCTAGACAGACCTAACGCTTTCAGATGCTGAGGAAGCGGCCCAACTCCCCTCGTCAAGGCTGGGGCCTTCAACAACCACAAACGGTCAGGGTTTACAGTCCGGACCCTCCCTGCCCGCAAGCTCTGGGATCGGCGCTGGCCAGCGCCACCGAAAGGCCCTGCTTCAGAAATTCAGGAGAGATCTCTCCAGCGCAGATTCAGAGAGGACTCCACAAGCCCCGCAAGCCTCGCCTCCTCCCAGCGGCCCGCTTGGATGCAGGCGTTGGCGGCAGCGTTGCGGCCTTGAAAGGAGGAAGTTGAAGGCCGCCACCCCCCCCCCCCGAAAAAAAACAAAAAAAGAGAGGGGCGCACGGCCCTGCGGCGCCTGCCGTCATTGCTCCGGTCTCCAAGGAGGCCGCACATGCCACGGCCAGGATCCCAAGAGCCTCGGAGGAGAAAGATTCATGCGTAGGTTCTTATGGCTATACCGTCATTATTGTTGATACTGTGGTGATTATATTATCGTTATTGCTATTACCATTGTCATTATTGCTATTGTTGTTGTTGTTGTTGTTGCT